CACACACTAAACTCAGTTTTCAACAGTTTTAGAATGAAAACTACTAACCGTTTTTACCTAAGATAGATGGCCTTAAAGTCATTTATCTCGGATAATGACGTCGCCGTCTATGTGATTTAAAAGCTGACATTTGGCTGTAGCAAAAGTGCAAAAAATTACTGAAATGTCTTTATTCAGGTATACAGAGAACGCCTTGAAAGTTAATGAAATTTCTGCGTTTCTTTAAACGATAATCGCGCAGATACTGCTCATAACAGCAAAATTAATACTTCAGACCTCTACCGTCACTAACGAAGAAGATTACCTGACACAAATCAACCGGAACTAATGAAGAGAACCGACATCGTATTCCATCATGACAACGCCAATCCCATACATTGAGAGAGGCAAAAATTCTTTCGTCATATAGTACGGATTTCGTTGTTGTTTACTCGAATCTTTATAGAACTTCCTTAATGGTTTTAATTTAGTTTCGATGGAAAAACTCAAGAATAATTCACTACAAATTTTTGTCCAGAAACCACAAAGTTCTGCAGCGATGGGATTCGGGTATTACCAGAAAGATGGCAGAAGGTCATCCCATCAATCAAGACAACGTACATTTACTTCAATAAAATGATTTTAAAATATAAAAAATCTTTTCTTCGATCTTGATTTAAAAAACGTCATTATTTTTTTTGACAATCAAAATACTAGCATGGTCTACATGATTTTTTTTGGAATAGGTATAAAGGGGCTTACCGTAGGCGCTTACTAATCTTTACATTTGAATGTTTCAGAGATTAAGAAGGCAGGTCGAGATGACAGCAGTTTAGCAAGTAAACATTCGACCGATTCGAAAAACTACGGTATCTCGCTTTTGGGCTGCAGCCTCATTTACACACAAAGGTGGTAGCTCTTTGAACACTTCTAAGACACGTACGAAGAATAAACGGGTGTAGGTATATACATATGTTTCGATAGTTAACGGAATCGCTATCTGAAACATGTTAGTACTGGTTAAAAGTGGTATAGCTATTTAGTTCTTTCTATACAATAGCCTGTGTTGCTTTCAAGAGCCAGAAATGCCTATTAAATATTTAGTATGAGACCGAAGCTCAAGCTGCTAACTGTTTGCGAGTTTTTTTTGGCTATAGCTCTATTATTGTGGACTTTTGAATCGACTAGCCTTATTCTATTCAGACTTATCTATTGACAAATTCTCGACCCTTTGACAGCAGAATTGTTTTCTTGCATTCAGCATTTGTTTGGAGCATGGAAAATTGCCAACCTAATTCAACCTGGACCATTCTCTATAGCTCTGAAGAGGAGAACATAGCCCTCAAATAATCTATTTCGTATTTTCCGGATCACTGGCAAATAAAAGTCATTTGCCTAATGTCTTTCAGGTAAATTTATCAAGATACTTGATAAGCATATTACCACATGCATACCTACATTTAATACTAAAGATAGTAACTCAAATTGGGTTGATGAGCCCTTGGACAAGTAACAATGATCACAGTGCTATAACTACCGTCAGCCGATATGATATAAAAAAGTGTCCTTCAATCAAGTACATATTTTCGAAGCACGTCTTTCGATAAATTAGCTCAGTAGAATGAGTGTCACCTCCTGGGTGGTTAACATCACGACTACCTCGTATCACACTATCCAGTGGGAAAAAAAAAATAGAATATACCACAATAAAAATTATTGACGTCGCAGTACAGATGCTTGCCTATACGTGAAATGAAGACCTTGCCTGCAGCTTTAAAGATAGCTGCTTCTCTACGGAAGCTCCAAAAGCCTTCGAAAGCTTCGTAAAAGCTTTTTGTTGTTCCAGTTGTTCGTTGGATATCCCTTTGGATAGTATTCACATATGGGCTGTCCGCACGTGAGGTTACTTCTGTTAAGCTGTTCGAGTTTGGGTTCTTCTATGACTTCGTTGGTTGTATCCTCAGTCGCAGTATGTCTGATAGCAGCTAGTTATGCCTGATTTCCATCATCTTATTGTTTTCTGCCATCTTGTTTATTGTTTTGCTTGACGGCCTTCGGCTTGGCTGTTCTTCCTCGTACTGTGAGTTCTCAACCTATGTTAGGTTACCGTAACAGCTTTCTTAACTGCTAAGGCTTCCTGAAACATGAAGCTCAATACTCATTCGACGTTTCAGAGAGTTATCTTGATAAAGTCAGCAAAACGATTTAAGGTGACAAACGTCATGGCGATTCAAGAGTCGTCACTGATTTATGTTCTGAAACGACTTGACTTTTGCTTTTTTCAATATTCTCAACATCTACGGGAATTAACACAGCATTATTACGTTTTTAAGATAGAGTTAAACAGTGGTGTGACGGCACTGCGTTTGACATAATCGTGTGTATATTTAAAGAAACAGCCTTAAAGTTTTGAATTATTATGACGACGTCATCACTTTGCGTTCAAAGACGGCCTTGGCGTGAAGTGTCTCACAGCTTACCTACTCTTTTAGATGCTACTACGGAAGCCCCGAGAGGTCGCTCAGTTTCTGTTTTGTACCACTCCATTAGCATGTTTATCTACTAGTGGCTGCTTCCTCCTTATAGGAGACATTTTTCTCGTCCTTGCCGGGTCCCTCTCTGATGAGCTCTGGACTCGCACGTTCCCGTAATGATTCGAGTACAATTGATAACATTAGCACAAATTTATCCGGAATGCGGTTACCAATTCTTCTAGTTGTCAACAGCCGATCGTGATTTTTATCGCAATGAGTGCCTCATTGCTCACTTCAAATCAAGATAAAATTTCATAATTTCGAGTTTAATTGAAACGCTAATTGAATGAAACGTCTAGTTTCCCGTTGATTTATACTTTATCCATAGAAAAAAAAAACATTAACTAAAATGATTTACAAAAAATTCAGTATTTACTCTAGTGCTATATGGTCATATTGTGCGATTATTGCCACGTTTATGGTAAATTTCAATTTAGGTTCATCTTCATTAATGTGTAGCAATTGGAAAAAGCTTTTATTTCAATTTGTAGTCCTTAGAGTATATATATTATATTTACCATTACAATATAATTATTGTTGCAATAAAATAATGAACATAAACTTTACTCATAAACTACTGCAAGAGATCTCACCTATAATTGAAATAAAATGGCCACCAGAGTAGAATTAACCACCACCCTGAGAGCAGATATGAGCCCTTATATTGGTACAATAAAAGTGCAACATCATTGTAATAACCGACTACTTTATGCACAACTTTGTCGAAATAACTGGCAAAATACTTAATTTTAACCAGGCATCTTCTGGGCCTCATTTTCTCTTTACAACGAGTAGAAGCCACTATAAATGCTTTGCAATATTTGAACTACTCCATATGTGACTGAATTAAACTATTGTACTTTCTTTATCTGGCACAAAACCTCGAAAAGTTCTCGAGGTTTTGCGCCAGATGAAGAAAAACTTTACCAAACGATATGGATCATTGTCAAGCTTTTCTCTGCAGTCCTGCTCCATATTTTCACTCGAAACTTATCTTCATCGATAATTTCAATTTCTTACCCACTCTCACTGTTTTAGTTTCTCTAGGCAAGTCAGGTTTCCCTAGAAAATGCCCTATCCTACTATGTCCAAACAATGCGCTACCTTAACGAAATGTTTGTGGCCTCATCAAAAATCTCCGTTTGTCATCTGTACGCTACCCACTGGGTTTGTTTGTCTGTTACACATCGCAAAAAGCCAATCTGCAGCGTTTGGTTTGTCGGGAGCAATTTCAACGTCATCGACTTCATTGCGGAAGTCATCGACTAAGTGAGAAAATGCTCCGCTGCGGAACTTTATCGTCATGCCGTGATTTCCATATAGTTCAACAATCTCGGTCTGCCTGGCTTACAATAGAGCTTGTTTATTCAAGAGCTTGCTTATTGACTGCATGGTCGAACATAAACGAACCTCGACATCAATTTCGATGTCAGATTCGGCGCTGTCTTTGTGGAAAATTTGCACGATGTATGCGGTTGCTAGGGGCATTACTACCATGGCTAAAGCACTTTATCGGTTGAAAAAAGCATACACATTACGCCCACAACGAACATAGAAACTACGGTGAGTGTTCAATTTCCGTGACATTACTACACAATATTATGTCCAGCTAATAATGATATGATTCGATTCCTCCACTTCGGGAGCTGCTCACATCTGAACCTGTTGACAATGTACCCATGATGCGAGAGTTGTAGCAAGACTGGCTGCAATAATACACTAATAGCATTGCCACTCTGGGGGCTTTATTCGTATCGGCCTTTCGAGCGCTTGCGTACTCGTAGTTAGCTAAAATGTGCCGCATTCGCGTGTAATTAACGAGACTATGTGCCTTGGGGTAATCAGTGGTGATTTAGACTAAATTATCCGCTAGTTTAGCTTAAACGAACGTCTATACCTCTCCTAATAATATGCTGCCATATAACGTACTCGGTCAGATTATACTCGACGTATTTAATCGACTGCGTAGACGTTACCAGCTATACCCGGCTGGCGGTACGTAGAAGATGATGGAAATATGAGATAGGAAATGTTTCGAATTAACACTCGGTTACTTCTTTTGACTGAGGTTTTCTTTCCAGCCACTCCACGATTACTAGGCTGTTATCGAATAATTGTGATTTTTTTTCCGAGCCTCAATAATGGATTTCCTTAGAGCTGATATTGTTCGATTCTGCTACTGTTATCGGTTGGATATTATCATGTATAGTTTTCCGGAGGAGAACTATCAAATTCCTCTTTATTAAGCAGCACGTTTGAAAAGTCTTGAGTTACAATAGGTATTCATAACCAAAACAATCCAAAAACGCGTTATCGAGGCTTCTTTAGCTTGCAAAACATGCTTCACTCATTTCGTCGTTTAGACGATGAAAGAACATACGAAAACATGTCGCAGATATGCTTCCCGAAAGACTATATTTTATTTAATTAATTTATCGAATGTAACAAACTTTCGGTGTATTGCAGTATATGATTTGGAGTGTTTCGGCTAGCAATAAGGTACTTCGAATTTTCACCATATTTTTATTACCAACACATCGGCTAAGAATGGACATACGTTTTAACGTCAAACCGCGTAAGACTTGTATCTGCTAAATAAATGCCAAATTATTGTTGAATTTTATCTAGTCTCGTATTCAAGCGAATAAAAGTACCTAATCTGTTATACGAAGTTGATTCGAAATTATAGTTCTAATGGAAATTACTTAATCTGTCGCTAAGTCTTCGTCTTCCTCTTCCTGTTTGTTGATTTATTCTTTTAAAACGTCCTGGCTGCCTTAACCTGATTCTTTTTGCTGACAGACTGACAGAGCTCTACCCGAAGCTATACTGCGCCATATATTTTGCAGATTGGTATAGTATTCCTTCAGCAACATTCACGTCATGGCTCTTATAATAGCATTGAAATAATTTAGGAGGTAAAGCAGACGTATGCTGAAACCCGCGAATACACATCTAAAATGACTGCCAGTAGTGAAGTTTTATCACACGTGCAACGGCAGTCAGTCATCAGTATTCATAGAGGCTTTTCAGCCGAAACCCAGACGCACGCTTTAGCCCGGATCCAGCAAGCAAAGGTCGAATTTAACTATAATTCAGTAATAGTTAGAGGAAGGGCTAATAAATAAGAAGCGAGGCTTTTAGTGTATGCTACATATACGTAGGCGCTGGTTAAATTAATTCCACGGCAGCACCTAAATATGACGAGACAGTGGTTCGAATCCGTGAACGGGCAATAATACCCAACATGTGTTAAAAGGTATTTTTCTATCCATATTCATTACGCCAGATATCATCTGGGATAAGAATGTATCGGTACTACATAAATTTTAGATAAACTTAGATCTGCATATTTGAAAAAATCAATGAGTAATTAAAGTCAACGGTAGATGTTTATGCATGAGCGAAATCGTTTCCACTTTGTTTGAGACAAGCAACTTTATCCACCAATCATTAACTAGAAGACAAATTATAGATTTACACGCGTCTTCTGGAATCCGAGCTGACATTTTCAGTGGGTGTTCCTTTGCTAGCTTTTGTCAAGAATGAAAATTGCTAACGAAAACATATAACATAGTGCGTTCCGATGTATTTTTATCCGCTACTGAACTCGACTCAGTTCCTTCGGCGACTTATGACCGATAATACGCATTTGAAATCTGTAGTAGTACACACATACTTAGCAACTCGTACCTAAGTGACCAGTAGAACATTTGTACCAATATCAATTGAGGTCGTCATATGAACAGATAGACAGATATTACATTAATATTGCGTCATTGTCACGACATTGTCGTATCCGACGAAACCTGGATTCGGGACGCTTTAGCGGGGACAACTTGGTCACGACTCCGCTGTTGCGCCTCATAATAAAAATAATCGCTCTACACTGAGCTGGAACATATGATAACTTCTACAAACTAATTCTTACATAAAAACGCAATATGTTACATTACTATTATATTATATACAAATAATATGAAGTATATATTGCGTTATTAGCGTTAATTCGTATATTGTGACTCCCATTTCAACGAGAAATCTAACAGCAGATTTTCCCACTTGCCAAACCCGCTAAATTCAAAAGCTGAAGGGTTAACGAACCCGCTAAATGTACCGTATATGATTTAGCGCATATTGTAAACACGACTGCTTAACACGTTACGGTACACCACATTCAAAGCAGACAGAGCAGTCCACGTGCCAGGTTTACTTGTACTCTAACGCATCGAATACAGTTAACAATTTTTCGTAGTTAAATCAACGTATTGCATACTTCCGCTTACAATTTCTATATAAAACATTTTGGCTTACGTCGAATTATGAGCTGCGAGCTGCTCGACGACCCTGGAAACACTGCCGTGGAATATACTGACAGTACGGTCTACCAATGACTAAGGAACCCCTGAAAAGGCCGAATCTTTCAGTGTTATGTGTCGTTTCGTAGAGCCTTATTTATGTATATTCCTATTATTCGTCAGTCCTCTGTTAAACGACTGATTTCGCTAGGTAGTGTGGTATCTGCGTTGGTTGGGTAAATAGGATCGGGACAACTGATACGTTGAAAGACTTTGTAGTGGTAGTTATTATAATTCGATTTCAGGTGGCAGTTCGGCTTTTTATTGCAAACCGGATTCGAAACGTGTCTAAGCACGACTATTATACGAGATGCATCCTGTTAACGCGCGGCTTGGTCTTCGCTGTATATTCCTACGCTTTGCTCTGTCTCACAACAGCAGCTACCGTAGATTATCTTGGTAAATCAAACCCATTGCATATCTGACATCGAAAATCGTATGGGGGTACCTTCGCTTCCCTATGGAAACCCGAATATAAATATGGAGTAGAGAACGGGAACACCTATGAAGGTTCCAGAGGTTTCCCGTAAAACTATGCAATACGCAAGCCATCGACTTTGCCTCAACCATTAAGCGCTACACAATCGTCATGTACCATTCTTCAACCAATATCGCTTCCGCATAATCTCTTCTTGCAGCATAATTTCAGCCAGCAACGAGAACCGTGTGTTCGACGAGCGTGCTGAACGACATGAACGGAACCGGCAAGGAACCTGCCGAGCTTCGCCAGGGACAGACAGATGGGTGAGTCAAGTAGAAATATTTGTACGGCAGAGGCAAATATGAAAATTAGGTTGTGTCGGAATCGGTTAGGAAATCCAATTGCGTCGCCCAACGTGGACTCGTGGCGTGCAGACTTCACTGAGACTTGGTTGACGAAATCTGCACATAGCAGATTAAAGGGCAGTCAGGGCGGATGTTCGTTACGCGGTGTCGATTATTTAAAACGAACGAACAAACAAAGCAGCAAGAAGCCAAGACTGAATTTGAAGGTGACATGCTATGAAGGAGAACGGCTTGCTGATGAGATATCTATGCCTTATGCGCGTACTAGCCGGATACACACACATATGTCGATAAATACGCAAAGCTTCCAGTTGATGAATGCTCTGTGAAGATCCAAACAAGATAATTTACGTTACTTTATTTTTTGTTTCGTTTCGAGGCAATCACCCATACGACGCTTAATTCGCTGTTTTAAATTTTTTAGTATCTTATTTATACCAATAAGTCCTCAAAATCGTCGCTGTTTATATATTGCATAAAGAACTTGCTTCGCTAAGAGCACTACCTGACTAACCCTTTCTAGACCAATCTGAGGTTTCTCCGACAGATCTATGAAGCGGGATGAAAAACCACACAAGCAGCTACCAACCTGAATAAGAATTTTTTTATCTTCCTTATTTTTTTGATTGTGACTCTCTAGTAGTGATTTTTCCCCAACGCTGGGATTTGGGTTAGCGTTGCAACTTGTTTATTATTAACTATGGGTACCATGGTAGCTCACATAAAACGATACGTATTAGTCACCCAGACGACGCGGCTTCTAGTTCCAAGAAAATCCAAGCCTGCTATTGCTATTATTATATATCTTCATCACAATAGGAAATGAGCGATGCCGTATGCTACAACAAATGTCATTTCCAAAGTTATTTACCATCTTGCTTGCATACTTTCATGAACACTTCAGAGTTATCTTTTTTCTAAATCAACATCACCTTTGTCCTGTGCTCTGGAAGCGACCCACTCAGCAGCGGATAAATGGGTGAACATTGCCCACAGGGAAAAGCTAAAATATCTGGAATTCTACATCACCAGGTTCCAAAGACGTCTCAGTAATTAGCTGACCGAGTCTTGCGCTAATTTCTGCCCTCATATCAACTAATCGGCAAATACGTTACAATTCAGACATTGCATACACGTATGGCTAATGAATGAAAACAGTAATTATATAAGATTTTTCAATGTTCTTGCTTGTTTCATTAAATATTCTATCCTCTTAATTTAGTTATTACTACCTGATGTTATGTGTGGGTTTATTCGCGCTATCAGTTGAGTCATCTTGGCTTGTACGTGTCAGCCTGTCACCTTTTATCGCATATTTTCCATAGTTCTCTCGTGAATGAGTGTTGCACCTTTCTAGCTACTGATCATATTTTCGAGTAATCCTTGTTAGAAAATATTGATGCTTAATTCATCTGTTTGCCATCAGCGCCGTTTACGCTGCGTTATTCAGTTCAGACATTTTACGCCGAACCGTCTCCGATGTCGGAAACAACAAACGCCTGATATGATCATTCCATGACATCGACTTTCTGTGTACGTATCAGATTCGATGCTAACTACTTCTCACACTAATGCTATTCGCTTGTTTAATATGTCTATTTCGCTCTTTAGTATTACCCCTTTACTTCTATACCGTAACCGTATTCACTGTTGTTGCATCAAAGTAACGAACATTGTCGTAGTGTCAATTGTAATCTTTGCTTATGATTTTCATTGTTCTATATATGACGATATATTATGTCCATAAGACCTTGCTTTTCTTGCCTACAATGGAACGCGCCCACATTTTCACCAATGCGTTACTTATCGGGCCCTAGGTCAAATGAAAGTGGGTTGGTTACCTTCTGCGCACACACTTCTAAGCGTTTTCGTGCTATTTATGTAAAAATGCGCTGGCGGATAGGTTGTTCAGGAAATCAGCTTATCAATCGGATTATCCAGAGTCAAGAAAAGGCAATGATATTTAACAAACTGATATTATTTTAGCATCCTTTGAGCCTCTTTTAAGCCTCTCTTTGATCCTCTCTTGCTATCATTGTTGTTAGCGTGAGCGCGCTACCTAAACGAAAAGCAAAATATGAGAGATTTCCTACCACTGACAAATGCCCGGTCGAAATATTGACAGGGTTACTAGGAATCATGAACAACCCAAAAAAAAGACGTGTACTAGCGAAACAGCTATAAGGACGACACGTCAGGGGATTTCGGTCGCAACATGTTCGATACCTTAAACGTGGCAACTATTAGCAGCTAGGTAAGACTAAATTTACTTGATTTAATTTGTGCTCAAAATCATCAAAAAATTAGCGTGTGTTACCGCACTAGGCTACCATGGCGATGGCTTAACGCCCACTCAATGGAATGGTAGATTGGATTAACGACAATAATTACTTTTGCAAGTATAGCGGATAATAAGAACAAATCTGAAAAAGAACAGGACTGAAAAAAGCGTTTTTATAGAGCAATCACGTGTAGGTCCCGATCAAATACACTGCACTGTCTAGTGACGATTATATATAGTTTGTGAGCAATGTTTACGTAGATTGGCTCATACGCCCAAGCTCGATAACATTATAGTGATAGCTTTTGGATAATTTCTTAAATCTGAGTGGAAATCATATTGACTTTGAGTGAAAACAATATTCTATTTGCCCAAATTCAAGTATCTATCGAGTGTTTAAGATCAATCAGCGCTACTCACCTATCAAAAGCTCTGCGGTAAATTGCCTAATACGATTCTGTACTATACGCGTCATATCATAATACCAGGTACGCATTGACTACAATCGATCAGTCTCAGGCTAGACTAAATTCGTTCGATCACATTTCATTTTCCTATAATATCATCATTTTATATATATATATATATATATATATGGTTAAAATTATATGTATCCATACTTGATACGCGGCTGTGTTTTTGATAGGATATTGATTATCGCTAGGACCATCTTGATCAGTCTCTCCGACACATCACCAATAACCTTGACGCCTATGTAATATTCGCGCTGCTCGCTCGATCGTAACGTTACGCTGATTTCTCTCTGTGTATATATAATGTAAAACGCGTATATTTAATGCATTCAACTAGATAGAAATCACTTAAGTTTCTTCAACTCACACGTCTATTTTATGGTTTATTATTATTAATTTATTCCTATTTACGTATACAATATTATTATATACTAGTGTTGGTAACGTAATGGTCTCTTCGTACTGCCGGCCTTCACGAAGGCCAGAGAATCAACTGAATATTGACAATTTCAGCGTCCTGAGCGGTTCTTCTGTCAATGCCTGAAATGAGTATGCACCATATACGAATCCGAACAACTCAAAAATATCAGTCGTCGACTTCTGCCTAAAAAAGGCAGTGCTATTTGCAAAGATGACTAAAAAGGTGCCGCTGTATGCAGATATCTGCTGGCGGTAGTTTTTGTGCTTACTTTGTCATCTTCTCTTTTTTTTTTTGCCTACAAATCCTTCGATCCTCAATGAGTTCACCATGGCCTCTTCCTGTGGCGTTAACTGTCAGTCTTGCTCATAACGCTTTTAGTTCATTTTCTTTTCGGCAATCTTGCCGTCGGCGTTTGTTCGCTTACTCTTCTTTTTACTGTCGCCGTCAATGTAGGCCCGATAGAAGAACAAAGCAAATAGACCGAAATATGACAAATACATATAGATCGACCAAAGAGCAGTATGTGGCACGATCGCGCAGGTTGGTCCCGTAATGTAGGCGTGCAGTGTGACGTAGAATCCGACGCCCATTTGCGTGAGTTGGAGCAACGTGATTGACCAATTCGATCCGGCTGGAAGTTTCACACGAAGCGCCCGAGCCGCATAATAACTATACATAATGCTATGGATCGTGTAATTCATTACGACGTACCACCTGGCCGGAGCGATATGCTGCTGGTAGAAATACCAGCTAAAGCAGAGAACCGTCACGTGGTGATACCAGTGCAGAAAGATGAGCGGCCGCTTCCGAAGAACAATGAAGATTGTGTCAACCAACTCTGGTAGCTTGGACAGAACGAACAGCCAGGTCCAAAATCCTGCGACGCGATCGTACTCGATGTACGAAGGATTGCAGACGGAGTGCTGGAAACCGAACTTGCGCAAAACGTAGACCAGCTCAGGAACGGTTCTACATGCACCCAGAATCGAGAAACAGGCAAGCAGTAAGTTCCAGATCACGAGAGGCTTCTTTAGTTCGAACGGCGGTCTCTCTCGCATATATCTGTGAAAGGCAAGAAATTGTCGACAAGAACAGAAGCAAATAGAAGAATGTAAAGTCAACGACACTGTGGCAGGTTTGCTCAGATTAATTATCTAGGCTCCTCTTTGGGTAGACTTGACGTTTTTCTGTCTACATAACATACAATGCAAGAAAGACATGTATATATATATATATATATATATATATATATATAATTTTATCAAAGCGTTCAATATACGTTTTGATATTGACGTACATCGCTTAGACAATGTTTTTATGGTATGCACTATTTCAACGTACATAAAACTAATTATTTTGCCTTCTCTTCTAATTACATCAATTCCTAATACGTGCCTGCAGCAATAACTATTTATTTATTGGTTAACGATTTATTTTAACTAGCTGCTTATCAAACATAAAACAGCGTCTCAATGCGATCGAAAGGAATCAGTGAAAACAAGTTGAAAAAATAGGATACGCGCTTCTAATCCAAAAACGCCAGTCAAAATCTTCGACGCCACTGTCGCCCCATGACGTTCATATCGAAAATATTGATTGGAGATACCGTTTACTGGAGAGTATACCAAAGGAAACTTGTTGTTTCCTAGATTGTTTGATATAGGTTTAACTTGTCATAGTAATAGATGGTAATGTTGTATATATGTGTATATGAAATGAGCTTTATGACGTAATTCTTCAGATTATCCTCAAATTAAAAATGACGCCCTCTCAATCCGGACCCAGTAACACTGTGCTCAATGAGCATTTTGAAGAAGATTTCGAAAAGGTACTGATTAATGGCAACGGAAATAGTCATCTTCGTGTTTGGCTCCTGGGCGAATTAGTAGTAACAATGTCTGATATATTTGAGTTTAGGCAATGATAATAAATGTTATAACAAATTTCTTATGGTCTTCTCCATATCATCGTCTCAGCTTCGTTACCATTTGGAAGCTTTAATAGATAGCTCACAAGGTCCTTTTATTCATTTTAATTTATCTCCTATGGGACTGGAGGTAAAAATCACATCGAAATGTAGAATTTACTCTCTCGTACTGAAGCACCCAATATAATTAGCTGTACAGATTTTTATTCCGTTCCGCTAATGGCAAGTCGACTTTCTTATCCACAGGGGTTTTGCGAGATCAAACGCCCCTGGAGTAGACAACAGCGCCTGTCGGAGCATTTATAAATAGGTAGATCAGAGTTTTGACATAAACCTTTTGTCTCGAATATTCCGAGAAATAAACAGGAATTAGTAGATAAGAAGTGAGTGTAGAATCAGTCTGTATAGCAAACCATTAGTTAGCACTGGCGCTTTCATGGGGTCACATTTATACACTCCGTATTAAAAGCAGTTAGGAAACGCGTCACTGTCTAAAAATCTAAAACAACCATAGAAATCTCGTTTTGTCATTTATGCCAACCAGATGCAGCGCTACGATATAGTCGTGACGCACATAAATTGTTTTAAGAGGACAAAGGCTTGCCTCGAAGGCTTTCATAAGAAACACAAAACGAACTATGCATAGGAAATCCGCAGAGAGAATCAGGAGCCCTAAAAAAGTGCAAAATATTATATATGTATCGTCTCCTACGCTATTAGCAGCAGATGAACGTGTACTATTATGGACATAATAGTTTAACACTGGTCCTAAAAAGCCCCCTTCGTCGAAAATAAAAAGTAAAAAAAAAACAACCCATCGATTTAACCAAATGTGAATCGTGTCGCGTTCAGTCGCTGTGTCCTTTGTCGCCTTGGAAAAGCCAGTACGGTTTGCTAACCGTACGTAAATTCAAGTCTACATTGTCAAATTATTCATTTCCGTCATATATTTTAGACGTTGCAATAATTAAATTTCAAGAAAAATTGAAAACGGTGGATATTATACTTACGTAGAACAATCAATAGCTATATTCGTATCAAAAAAAAAGCAAACCATTTCAGCAGATGTATGCATGTGTTTATGGACAAAAATGAAGTATCGCTGCTCGTGAAGCTGTTAGACTGGGTCACCGTACCCCGTGTCAGCGACAAGGACTTTACCCAATCATGCTAATAAGTAGGACAGACTAGTAAACCCAGAAGAGACAATACTAGATAATCAGCCATAACATCCATAGATACCAAGCTGAACAAGCACATACTATGTATTATAGACTACTTTGAACAAAATGCAATTTTGCAGAAGATAGCTAATGAGCAACCATTCAGCAAAAATCGATCGGATTATAATTTTCACAGTCTTTTAATATTAGAACTCCACTGACTGGTTATGCTTCGACATGCACTCCATTTGGCCAATCACTGTTTAGGCCACCATATCGGTCGCTTTAGCAGTGTCAATCAAGTTTGTAAGCGCTGATACCCATATTATCTTCGAAATTGATCAGGCAGCGCTTTTTCCTCGGTTGGCAGTGTCAACAAATTCATCTGAGCTGATAGCAGAACCCCTATACACAGCAGAGCGATCAGGCCAATACTAAAATGCATAATATCAACTGAATCTCTGTTCAAATAGAAGTGACGAGAGCCGTGAGTGGCCTTCTTCCGAACAGGAACTTATGCCTATACAACTAGATAGGTGACATTCTACAAACACGATAGGAAAACCAGGCACGTTCAACATGAACCTAAACGTTAACTTTCCTGTTAACCTTAAATGGGATTTTTTCGACGACTCAAATTTGTATACTCATTGATTAAAACAGCTGAATAATGACCACCAATGGCTATGCTTGCTGATAGCACAGTTGGGGGGCAATGTCATGAAATTGTCACTGGCCGGCCACTATTGGTACCGGTTATAAATGAAACGTCGCTCTCGATTACCTAATGGCTCGTGACGCCGCCAAACGTTCGACAGCGTACCGCTATCGTACAGGTAACGTACGTAAGTTGGCGTCATTCGACAGGCCAATAAAAATCTCATCAGGAAATAATCATGAAGATGGCCGAACAGATAAAGGCCGTCGAAAAATATTGGCCGTTAGCCAGAATAAAAAAACAACTAATTAAAGGCTCTCCGCAAAGAACCGTTGGTGAACAGCGGTTCTTTGCGGCGGCAGAACAGCGAAAGTATAATGGAAAATGCTAGTTAAATTAGGCGTCGACCTGTGAGCGATGATACAATTTTGACTATTCACAATGATTGAGTATTAATGGCAGTTCGAGAAGGAGGTATAACCTGTTACTGGCAGATTTTTCGATAGCGATAATGAAGAACTATTGGTAGACATATAAAGGGCAAGAATTTTTCTATTGCCAGTATTATTAAGAAAGAAATATTTTTGATATTTGTTGGTATATACTAGTAGTATTACTAGTACTAGTATCCTGGTTATTTTCTGGTTCTTCGTAATCTCCCTGGTGCACCAGATGCATGCGTCCGAAATAGAGCTTAGCATTTATCAAAATAACAATATAGTTTTTGCTAGAATTGTTCCTAAGGCACAAACAGATGAGCAAACATACAACGGCAGTCAGTAGTATATATGTGAATCAAAAAGCGTGATTCGTCAAGCTGCTTCTTATGTCTCGATTTGGGGCAACATTCTCCGCCATTTACTTTGGTTTTCTGTCTTGAACAGGCGACAAAACAAAAAAGCCAACAACTAGCTACCGAAAAATAGCCTCGCTAGACTTTTGAACGTTCGGTATAAGATTCTGCAATATAAAATACTGATTAGGGCTCCATCAATATGCGTACACGGCATGATTTCATTGAGACGAATTCTGAACGGTGCTTGTGGCACAGAGACCACTCTAGTCTGTTTTATTTGTCTATTTGATTTGTTTGTATGTTTAGTTGTTCGAATTCGCCACAACCCCACCCAATCTATCTGAACGTAAATATATTGTACATCGGGTCTCTATTCCGCCACAAGAAAATTGGCGGTTAAAAAGGGAAGAACATAAGGGCAGCAGACCACTCTAGACAGACTGTATATACTTTACCAAGACGGTCAGCGTGCGGTTACAGGTGGTGTTCGGTTAAAATCGAATTATGGAGAATGACGTAAAAAGTAAAGCAAATCTGTCCAGGTGTCTTAAAACGACGTACTTTCTCAATCACTTGTCAGTGTCATCATTTTCCGATATAATTAGCCCATTCTGTAACAGACATAAGAGTCTGCCTTAACAAGAAAAATTCGCGCTTAAATCTAAACCCGTACACTGTGTTGAACCTACCTGAGCAGAATCTATCTAACGTGACGTTGTTGTGCTTCTTTGTGGCACATATGGGTACGTATGCACGTGCAAGACGTACCGTTTAAAGTTGATCCAATCCGTAACAGGCACTACGCTGCGAAATCGCAACATCAACTAAATGGACCCAACCTATATACAAGGGAAAAAAGTTTTACTCAATTTACCTTCTAATACCAAAGACAAGGGCAACGTATAGCCCTGCCCAATAAAATGACGTATGCCAATTCTGGTGCATCCACAGCCGATTGGCATTTTTGTCAAAGCGTTCTTCGAACTCGAACAGGAACGAGTACTGGGGTTTAACGGTGGCAATGTCTACTCCTGACTTGTCAACAAAGCACGTCGCGTTTCTGTAATTCAAAACAGACATGGAAAGAACAATGTTAGAACATACTGGTAAGTTTTCAGCAGTTGTAAAATTAAGCGCTTATAGATGCTTGTAACTGCATACGTAAAAAAACGTTTAGCGACTTTGGGTTATTCACACCACCGAACAGTTTTGGCGCCATTAAATGCAATGTAAATCTCTGTGTATGGCACCGACTTCGTTCAGGCTTCATCAGATCGACATGCGAGTTATTCCCTGAACGAGTCTTAGAGCAGACAGAGACATTTCGATAGTAAACACGGGAACAACCGAGGATGTCGACTGGATATATGGCAATTAGCGCGCTGAAAAGAGCCGCTGGCTCAGTTTCGGTTGACTTTTCGCGGAGTTTCACCATCTTTTAGACATAATTACAAAGATATTGGTTACACAACAATTGCTAAGGGTCAATTCAAAAGCGAGCAGCAATCACACATACACAGTTGTTTATCTTTAGCAAATCAATGATTAAGCTAAGATAACGTGGCGCCGTTACCGGTAGCGTCAACTGATATACTTAAATCGGGGCAAGGTTGAGTTGATCTGTATATATATATATTGGGTTACCGAATAACTATTGACTGTTCTTCTTATTAACTAGTTCTAAAGTCAAATATCTCAGGTAAAATGAATCGTGCGGGTTGGCACTTGTGTCATTTGGAAGTTGAGATTTCGGCAGTGGCAGCTCTGCTGACATTGTTGGGTGACATCTTCATTCGGGCTTTACCTAGATAAATTTCTGCAAAAATTCGCCATTTTACAGTTCTGTTAAGGTAGGGCCATACGTGATGTCTAGGCGCATGAAAAGAATGGTGCTATTTATGGCCAAGATACGTTATCGAAAGAAGGCACAAGATGATTCTATTGCAGTTTTTCATTTTTTAAATTAAAAGAACTTTAAAAAAAAAAGTAGTCGTCGATTAATTACAAAAAAAGTCGATGAATCGCTGCAAAATTTATACAAGGCCGACATGAAATTAGCTAATCGAACTACTTTCAACTCAACTGATTACGTATGACGAAAAACGGATCATATAATGACGACAATAACGTTTAAATAAAGAAGAAACTATACTCTATATGAACGATATAAGAAGCTCTACGATCTGTGGCAAAGAAGACGCCAAAGAAACTAACACTATCTGCCCAGTGAGACTAAGAAGGAAGTGGACTGTTGTCGCTCAATAAACCGGTCAATTCTGAATCGCTACCGTTAACAACGAACAAAATTATGACAATCCATTGAAAAAACGAGCCATAACGATGTCAGACCAGATACGTTTTTTACTATTTAGCAAAAATTAAAAAAAAAATCAATGGAAAGTTTTAATATGTCGATCCTATAGTCCAGGTCTTGCATTATCAAATCACTATCTCTGTTTTGTTTTTTACGGGATACCCCTAATAAATAAAGTTAATTTTGTTTAAATAATGGGATGCAAAAATTGCGTGCCACAATTTTTTGCCAAAAATCACAGCAGTTATACATCGATAAGGTCGCAGCGTCAGTGGAAAGGTGGCATAGCGCATATTTACTTCAGTCATATTATTCGAAGATATCAGAAATATCTGCTTCAATTTTAATTTTCAAATGATAAATACTTTTTCGACAGTCCGTTATGCATTATATATGAGAAGACTGCTCGTCTCATTTTTGCTTTTTCTTAGATTCGAATACTGTTAGCAAAACTATTCTGCTTTCTAGTATAATTGCTATTTTTTTTTTTTTAATCATTTCCCAGCAATATGGCCGAGTACTATTTTTCCTAACAGCGTTTGAATTTCCGCTTGAATGATCGTCTAAACCTAAGACAAAAGCCCTCTCAATTTCGGCAACACCTTTTTGATACGGATATTTTTCTAAAACGTATTTACGATAAGTCGTACAAGACTAAATACTGAAGCCCGTACTTCAAGCCGAGGTGCCTTTGTTATATTAACTACAGTAACGACACTACGTGGAATTAAAGCGTCTTGAAAATAAACAATTTTCGAACATAAGGGGATATTCAACTCAGTCATGGCCATGGTTAGAAAGGTGATATTGATAAATAATATTTCCTCCTTCCGCTCATTTAATGCATCCAAGCGCCCCCTATTTTGTCACCGCTCAATTACTTTCGCTGAAAGAAAAGCAGCTATTAGTTGTAAAACAGTTTGTCACCAAGTCGCCACGGATAAAGCAAATGCCGGAAACGCAGTTTCGTGCTTCATTGATTGCGTATAACTTCTGGGCGCTTAAAATCCCGACGCGTACGACAAGAATTACGGGCAGTTAGATAGGTGGATATGACTGCTGTCGAAGATAAGATACAGACTAATCGCTCTGGAACTCTTCAATCAAGTAATACATTGAGAATCCAATGAATTGAAGTAGGGCCGAAGGATAAAATTCTTTCTGGAATTGCCGAAAGGGTAAATCCAACCGAACAAAGAAAGGTCAATTAAGTAGGGAACGGCAAGCTGGCTGTGCTTTTCTCTAGCCAAGTACCATGCCTTCCCGCGAATTTCATGGTCTCATGACCGTACGATAAATGATAAAAGCCGCGCTAATATATTCCCTGAGCAATAAATAACAAACACAAGGCATTCGCCTCTGCTTTCCAATTCTTTTCAGATTTCCCACTCCAATTCCGAACAGCGGCTCCCGAACTGTGATATGAAAGAAGTTTGGCGCTAATTGCCCTAACAAACACCTGATGGCCATGTGTTCTGTCTATGCAGTTACAAAGAGGGCACCGTTTTACCAAATAGTTAATTGGTAGCGTTCCCAGCGTGGACAAAGGCAGTCCCAGTAGCCAAACTAGTATTAGTGATGCTCCCACGCATACGCGCCTGCGTCAACCGACGGTCCCCCCCGCGTACGCTTCGTTTAAACCAACAATGGTTGACCACACGCATAATGGCGATATGGCCGTGACCTTGAAGAGCTGCAGAGGAAAATATCACTGGCACTATGGACAGAACCGTAATCGTCATTTTCAATGAGGGCTTCATACGATAACGATAGCTCAGTACTAGTATTAAGTCCCTATGGGGCCTACGAGCGGTAGAAGAGCTAGTCACTATTCGCACAGTGACTATTATGACCTACAGCGGCGAGTATCAGCAAGCGAGCTTAGCTTAGCTTAGCTTGGCTGATGAAGGGACTACGTCGATTAACAATAGAGCCAGTGTAATTGCTTCCCGTTTTACCAGTCCCATAGCCATAACCGCCTGTGACGAGGCGTGCCGATTGCCATTACGGGCAGAATCGTTAAGCAAATTCATGTGCACTGAGCTGCATAGACAAATCAGTGGTATCTGAGTGAAGAATGACAATGATGGCTCAGTATTACAGAGTTTTATGGCACCACTGTCTATGCCATCAAAGGGATATTCTATGCAAATATGAACAATGAGCACCCTGCCAGTTTGACCCGATATCAATTTTCAGGTTCCTTGATCAGATTACATTATCGCATGTTGGTGTATCGTACCAAACACTGCAGTAGCCATACGTGCCATAGTGTTACGATAGATATAGCTCCGCGGCAGAAATTTCTAACTGACAGCCGCAAATAGAATTGTACATCAAAAGTCTTCGTAGATTAGATCGAGAACATGAGCCGCCACTAGCCGGGCGCTTGACACTCGAACCTACTATGTTCATTGGTTCGAATACGAAGAACATTTCATATAAAGGGTAACCTTAGATTAAGATAAGATCATTATCGACCCGGACTCCACGATTGGCAAAGGGTAGATAGAGGTTCTTAACATGCCGTTCGTATCTAAAATGTTATCCGACGAGCGTAATGATACGGTGCCGCGGTCAAACACATGAATACATATTGAAAACTAGATCCAAAGCAAATAGTGTTATGTTATTTTGGTGACTTTTTTCAGCAAATATCTAGACTGATGTTAATGACACGCATTGCACATTGCATACGATATATGCTCTCCGTCTTTGAAACAAGCCGATTTTTTTTTGCCTGTAAACTAGAGCCTAAACTACGAAAATTAGCTAGGCGAACAGTTGGAGATTGCTGTTTTAATTTTTTTAGCTTTACTTTTCGTTTCATTGCTTCTACCTGCGAAAGTTCTAAATTGGCCAGGCAGTGAACCAGTTTTGCTGACGTCCCTGCCATAAATTGTCATATAAATAAGGTAACAGTGTGTCTAAACCCCACGTGTCACCACGAAACGAAGACAGCCGCCGCTCGAATAACTGATCCAAAGTTAAAGACGTCGCGAAGAATATTAATAGACGCCGCAGCGAACTCCCTGCGTACTTATAGACTTCCGCGCTAATATCTTTCATGAATTCTGTGTGTATAAAAAAAAATGACCGTTGCCTAAATGAGCACGACATTTACCTTTGTAGGACACACATATACGTGCATACATAGGCACGCATAGTGATTATTGATAATAACATCGAATTGTTCTATAATGGTAGCAGGAGCCTTCCACGATAAAGGACAAGTTCCTCTTCTGTACAAAGCAGGATCTTACATACAGAATCGTAATGTTCGAACGCTGTTTGTTTGTTTGTTTTATTAGTACTGTCCTTAGATAAGCCGACGATCCGCGGCGAAGGCTGTACCACATAATAATCCAATATTAATGGCATAAACATCAATCTAATGAGAAGTGACAGCGCCGACATAAAGAAAACTATAGCCATACTCAACTATGAGTAAAAACATACTACCATAATTTGTATATACTGCAAAAAACAACTGCATTGAATTTTTGCTATTGGGTCTGCAGTTCTTTTCATTGGTTCATTCATATATATATATATATATATATATATATATATATATATATATATATATATATATCTTTTTTTTGATGACTAATTCTGTACGTATGTAAGGGCCTGGCCTATATTATCGTCGTATTTAGTATTCTCATAAACAGCCAGTCATATCCGTCGCCTGTCAACGCCTCTGTGAATTGCCCGGAACCTTTCGGTGACGATTCATGACGCCG